CCTCAAACTTTCGGATCCTGAGCAGCCCTTTGTCGTGACCACTGACACCAGCCAATATGGCATAGGCGTGGTCCTTGCACAAAAGGAAGGGAAAAAGTTGAGGCCCATCGAGTACATGAGCAAAATGTCATCTAAAAAATTAGCTAAGTCCACGTATGAGCAAGAGCTCTATGCCCTATATAGAGCGCTGGTTCATTGGAGACACTATCTCATAGGCAAATTCTCCTATGTAAGATCTGACCATGAGACACTCCGGTGGATCAAGACACAACCTGTGCTCTCTGATGTCGTGAAAAGGTGGATTGAAGTCATAGATATGTACGACTTCAAACTTGACTCTCTGAAAGGAGAGTACAACAAAGTGGCTAAAGCATTATCGCGAAGGGCAGACTATTTGGGCGCGCTAGTGACTGAGTGTGGGATATCTGATGATGTAACTCGATCTATGGTGGAGGTCTATCGAGAGGACGCAATTTTCTCTGAAATCATTCGCAAACTGAAAGCTAAAGATCAAGCTACCTCCGATGAGTTTGTGCTGGTTGAAGGCTTGTTGTTCCTTGAGAAGGCAGGGAATAAAAGACTTTGTCCCAGATAGAGAGTCTTTGCATAGTTTACTTTTAGGAGAATGCCATGATGCCACTGGTCATTTTGGGTACAAAAAGACTTCACAGCTAACCTTGTACAAAAATTTTGGTGGCCCACAATGATGAATGATGTGAAAAAGTATGTAGAGTTTTGCCAGGTTTGTCAATGTGACAAGCCAAGGACACAGGCACCGCTTGGGCTGATCAAGCTGTTGCCTATCCATGTTGGACCCGGTCAAAGTGTGTCCATGGACTTCATGGATACTCTTGTAACCAGCAAAAGCGGGAAAAGGCACATCTTCGTCATTGTAGACAAATTCACTAGGTATGCCAGACTAATCGCCATGCCTGAGACAGCTAAGACTGACTACGTCATCAAGCTATTCATGGATAACTGGGTACGGGACTTTGGGTTGCCCAAGTCCAGCTTCACCAGCGAACTGTGGCAGAGTACTGCCCAACAGGGCACCCGACTGCAGATGACATCAGGGAATCACCCTGAGTCAAATGGCCAGGAGGAACAGATGAACCGAGTAGTGCGGCACCTGCTACGGCATTACATCAAGCCAAGTCAGGATGACTGGGACGAGCAATTACCCGTCGTTGCCAGCCTGTACAATAATGCGGTGCGTAGCACTACTGGCATGACTCCCAACCAACTGCATCTTGGTTGGAAGCCCAGATCCGCACTCGATTTCCTGTTACCTGAAAACCAGCCATCTGCAGCACCTGGCAGCATAGAGTTTGCTCCCAAGTACGAACAGATGTTACAACAAGTTGTAGAACATATAAAGAAAGCTCAGGACGCCATGGTTGCGTCCGAGAACAAGCACAAACGGCCATCTGAGTTTCAGGTAGGTGAACGGGTGTGTGTTAAATCATTTGAACTGGGTCAGGAGTTGGGAATCTCACGAAAACTAACGCCGCAGTATTTCGGTCCCTGGGAGGTCCTAGATATAGTTGGGGATCAGATAGACGGACCTCCTATGTGATTTGCATCCCTGCCCATTTGCGCACATACCCAGTCTTTCACGCCTCCACGCTGGCACCTTTCGCAGATACTGCACAGTTTCCTTACAGACGATCAATGCGGTCCCCAACCATGGATGGTGAAGTCGACATTAATGACATTGTGAAGCACAGAGTGATGCCTGTACCTAAGCCTCCCGGCGGAGGCCGACCTCCAAAGCCAAGGATGCAGTACCGGGTCAGATTCAGACATCATACTGATCCCAGCGAAGATCGGTGGTTTACTAGAGTGGAACTGCAGCAGACAGCTCCCCAAGTGATTGCAGGATATGAAAGAAGACTTGAGGGGAAGATGCCTGCAAACTGAAGAACTTCTCAGGGGACTATCGAAGTAAAGGAGGAGGGAATGCGAGCATTTGGCTCCTCGGCAAGCCTAAGGGCCCCATTTTTTACATGTGCCCGCTGTAAGTGAAGGTGGACCTGAGAAAATCACGAGAGGCCCATTGTTGTCAATTTCGCATTTGGGGTTCAGGCAGTTGCATTGCGTCAGTTGGTTGAAGGAACCCAGGCTACGGCCAGCCACACTTTGTTTCGGCCTTCTAGGCCTCTCGTCGAAGCAGCCCCTGGGCCGCATCTGCAGCAAGTTGGGAGGCGTAATCAAGCGGGCCCCAGGGTAGTAACAACAGAGGCCCAGCAACAGGGCCTACCGGAAGCTTCTGGACGCAGGCCCAGCCCATCCAGGCCGCAGGCCAGGCCAAGCTCTTTCGTATAGCAAAGTGCTTGCAGCCTGGGCGTGGATTCGGGCACTTGCCATTCGTGCGGCAGCGCTGCTTGAGCCTGCGCTCGCGTGCTGTGCGCTGCGCTGTGCAAGGTGTCAGCGCATGTGCGGTCGTGTAAGCAGGGCGCTGCTGTGGGCAGCGCCATAACTCGGCTTCCATAGCCAGCCGGGTTTGGGTGAACAACAACGGGTAGTGGTGGTCTTCAAGTGAGGTAAGAGACGTGAGAGGAAGACAAGGGAGAGAGAGAGAGATGAGGATGAGGATGTGAGGGCACATATCTGGTCTTGGTGATAGTCTGCAAAGAGGCGACATCTTCATGTACTTCGGTGGCTGCTGACGTCAACAGTTGCATTGTCAATTTGTAGGCAGGAAGTAGCTGTGTGATTGTGGTCTGGGCGCCGAGTGCCAAGTAGGGGAAGGGGCTTGGATACTTACGTTGGTGATGCCGAGAGTGTGCTCTCATTGACACTTGGATTCAGTGTTCGGTTCTCTATTGGTGCATTATTGGTGCAATTCTGCTTTCTGGACACTGTGGGACTTTCTGGTTTTCAATGTGATTGTGCAATTTGGAATCTGTCATTTCGCTATTGCTCAAATTCCTTGCACAACATTTGGAATGTATCTGGACGTGCTGCTGGTCCAGCTACATTCAACATGTTGCACTAATCTCAGTGTACCTGCTCCGTAGTGCATTCCTGATACGTGTCAAATGCTGAGTAGTGGACCGAGTGCAAGGCATAAGGCCCCAATGAGCCCCTTTTACCCTCCAAGCAGCACAGTCGGCCGCCCTAAGTGAAGGCAGGCCCGACCAAGGCACAAGGCCTAATTTCAGGCAACCACGCAACTGGGGAAAATTCAGGCAGTTGCGCAGCGCCAGTTGGTTGAGAGCGCCCAGGCCCTGGCTGCCTTTTTCGTATGCAACTAAGGCAGGCCCTGGGCCAGATACACAACATGGGCCGAACCCAGGCTGCGGGCAGTTGGGCACATGCAACCGTCACAGGCCCTGGGCCTGATTCATTAGGACCGGGGCTCAGCCTCTCGGGTCCTACCGGAAGCTTCTGGGGCGAGGCCCAGCACAGCCTGGCCGCACGCAGCTGGCAGGCCACTTCCATTTAGGAAAGGCCCTGCCCCCACATTCGGCATTCGGGCACTGGCTGCATCCTGCGCAAGCGCTGCTGCGCTAAACGCTGGCCAGGCTCTCGCGCTCACGGGCGAGCAGGGAGAGGCAGGCAGCCATAGCCGAGCTGTGCTGCATACCTGGATGGGGTGCATGGTGGCCCTTGGGTGCACGTGGCTTCTGTGAGTGGGGGATCAAGGTTGTGAGTTATACGAGAGACATACCTGGTGCTTGAGGCGAACGGCATTGGCCGAGATCTGCTCGTACTTCGGGGATCTGTTGACATCACCAGCGGCATTGTAGATAGGCTAGATAGGATCTGCCACTTGTAGTCTGGGCGCAGAGTGCCAGATAGGATGTTCGACAGTGGTTCATTGTTGATGATGATGAGACTATTCCAGCATTGTCACTTGTGAGCTTTTGCTGTGCGCTTATTTGGTGGAACTCGTGTTGCAATTCTGCTTTTGGTTCGAGGTCACGACAATCTGGTCTCTTATGTATGATGTTGCTTGGTTTCTGAAGTTCACTATCGCTCATTTTGCTTGCATGAGGCCGTACGCCTTCATAATTTTGGGCTTTTTCTCGACATGCCAATTTCAACGCTTTTATCTGGCCGAAAGCACTCTTGTTCAATTCGTAGTACTTCTTTGAACGTGTTTTTTTTTTTTTTTTTTTTTTTTTTTTAATAATAATAATAACATGATTTCATTATATGAGCAAAAGGAGGCTGGGAAACGCTCCACATGTCAACTCGGAATACTGGGCCCAATACCCAGCTTAGGCTCATACTGAAAAACGGGTCCAGTGTCTCCACGCTTCAAACTCCCACCGTGCTATGCTGAACGAACTATAGCAACTGGAGTAACAAAGCTAGAAACAGCTAATGGGGGAATGAAACCTTCAACGAACTCTTCTCCTATCATTACTATTACAGCCCTCTTGGGGCCTCTGTCTATTACCCTATCCGCCCCTCCCAGTCCTAAACCCTAAACCCTACTCTTGCTTCTATACACTAAACCCTACTCTAGCTCCTAGCACCCTTGTGACTCCCTTTACCTGTGCCCTAAACCCTGAGCCCTACTGTCCCTTTATCCTTCCCTCCTATTCTCTCTCCTTCCTAACCCCTACTCTGTTTTGATACCTATATATCTGAGGCCTGGAATTCCTCTCCATCTCCGCGCACCGCCCGGTATATTATTTTCCTGTTGGCCCCCGGAATCGTAGCCGCCTTCCTTGTTCTGGCCCAACACCTTCTGTACAAAGCGGTTCTTCAGTTCTTGCGCCTGATCTGTGTGCTGTGAGCTCTGCTTCTGTTGTCCTTCTCCATTGGGCTTGGAGAGATCCGTTTCTAGCAGGTTGAGGATAGCCTCCCTCGCCCTCGCTTCCTGCCTATCCGTCGGTCTCCTTTCGTTGGTGATCTGGCACCACCTCTTCCAAATTGTCCGTAGGATGTACTGTCTTATCCTCTGAAAGGTCTGTTTCTCGAAGAGTTGCCACTCTCTTGGGGAGATCATGACCTTTCCTTTTTCTCTTTTTTGTCTTTTTTTCCAGGGACTATTAGGAGCAGGTCATCACAGTAAGCAGATGGGCATCAGCGAAATCCTGTCATCAATTTTACAAAAGCTGCGGCATGACGACCTGTTTCCGATCGGCACAATCATGTGCAACCCATTGTGGCTACAGACCTACATAGAGATTCTGGAAAATCAGACGATGACGATGCAAGCCTGCCAAGACCTGCACTACAAGATCTTCGAGAACCTTGCGGCTCTGGCCGAGTCGCGTATGCCTACCACTACTGGTACTGCCGCTGACGGTGGTGGTGGTGGTGGTCATGGCGGCGGCAGTGGTGGAGAGGGGGATCGTACCCGAAATGAGGCCTTACAACGACCTGCGTCAGCGAGTGGGGCGGTGGGAAGCCACCAGAGCGACAAACTGAACGAGGAGGAGAGAATAACACCAGATGTTCGACCTGACTTGCGGCGCTCGCAGAGCAATGCTACATGGTCTTCCGGAGCGCAGACTGGAACTCCTATTACTCAAGGAGGAGGGCAGGGAAAGGACACAGATTTGACATTGTGATGGACGGGAGAGTCATCTGGTCGATTCAGCTGAGTACTGTAACCAACTGGGAAACAGACTTGAATATACAATGTAGAAACAAGTCCGGCAGTGTCACACTTTCGGTTTCGAAAGGGGGAAAAAAACACGTGGGGCAACAACATCGGGTGCGGAGTTTGAAAAGGGCAATATCCATAAAAATGGTTGTGGCCTGCGTGTGATTTTCTTGCCCTTTTTTTCAAACTCGGCGAGCGAGTTTGTTGCCCTTTTACAAACTCGGGGCGCGGGTACGCCGGGTAAAGCTGCTTTTGTTGCCCTTTTGCAAACTTGGCGCGCGAGTTTGTTGCCCTTTCCGAACTTGTTTGCGCCACAACCGAACTTATCCCTACAATGTAGTTGAGGATTCCATATCACAGCATAACTACATCGCAGAGTACGGATACCTCCATGCCACAGACCACCTCCCGCATACTACGGATACCTCCATACTACAGACCTTCTCCCTCATACTGCACTGGGAAACAGTCTGAGGGTCCGGCAGGTAAAAGTCATCTGCAGCTGTATCGCTGAGCCACTGGCAGACTGGTTCTTGGATCAGTACTTTCTTAACCTCAGGTCTATCCATGTACGCACAGAATCGAAACCATCATCCTTAGACACAAGATCCAAGTCTCTTAAGAGTCTGAACCACTATAGGCATGACACAGTGCGCTACAAGCAGGGTGGAAACCATGCTGAGCTTGATGGGACCATACCAAGATGGAGAAACAGCGAAGGATGGGAGTATTGGGTGTTGAGTGCCAGAAGCATAGTAGGTGAGAGCTGTTTTTTTTTTTTTTTTTTTTTGGGGGGGGGGGAGGTAGGTGTCTGTCACAGCAAACAGTGAAGGGCACAGAAAGTGGAATCCAACACTGTTCCAGAGCTTTAGCTATTAGCTCAGTTGGTTAGAGCACTGGCATTGCAAAAAAGGACTCTCCTGATCACACAGAGTTGGAGTTAGGTTAACACCCCAATGCTAGATAAGCATCAGACAGAGCAGTGATGCTCTGATCAGGCACTCGCTAGTCAAGTGAAAAATGTTGCAGCCGGTTATCCTTACTTCACGGCAAGCCGAAGCCGGGTAAGGACCTCGGTGTCCAGTTATAAAGGGAATTTCAGTGACCATTGTACAAGGGACGCTGGACCCGCTTTCCAGAAGGTGCTGCTCCCCACCAAGAGATTGGAGCACCCGGTGCCAGGTTGCTACTCCTAGCTAACAAACACTGGGAATTCAAAAAAAAAAAAAAAAAAAAAAAAAAAAAAGGTTAACACCCCACGTACTTGTGACCCAGCCTAGCACATTCCACGAGCTGATCAGATACATGAGGTCTTAAGGGGGTTGATAGGGGGAGGACACTATTCAATGGGGCACCTTACAACATTGGACTGGATCTCGCCGCTATTACCTATAGGCTCTAGCACTTCAAGATGTTGTTTAGTCGTGATGGGCGTCTTGAGGGGTAGTGTTAGGGAAGGGAGCATTGCTCTGTGAAGGCATCATCATGGAGGGCAGTGAGTGTCCTTGTAGGGGGTGAGTGCAGCATAGGGGTGTCGTCTACCTTGAACCGCCAGAGCTGGGTTGGATTTGTGGGGTCCACGCCCCATGGGCGTCAGGTCAGGGCCCCTGCCATAGCGGTGGCAGAGTAGTTCGACAGCAGGAGGGAGCTTAGATGATGGAACCGTTTGATGTTTGGAACGTTGAATACATACGGAGTACATTGAGCGTCTACAGATCACACGTGGTTCACTGGGGGTGTTCTTTCCGTCCAGTTGTCCACGGAAAATGTTATATTGGCCTGATTTTTGCTTTTTTCGTTTTTTTCTTTTTGTGTGATATGTAGATGCTTTAGGGCACGTCATGTTTCCAGTTTTTACATGTTTGGATCATTAATGAAAAAGTTGGCATTTCGTTGGGTTCAACCGCTTTATTTCAAATCGGAGAGTGTTTTTGTGTTAGGTTTTTATAGTGTTTTCAACTTTTCATTCTTTATTTTTTCATTTTCTTTGGCCT